ACTCCGCACAGGAAGCTAGGCTATGGTTTTGTTTACATTTGTTTTTCTATTTTTTCTATCTTTTTTAGAACATAAAAATCTGCTATATCTATCTTGCTATTACTTGAACGGATCTCCGGGATACATTTGCGTATATAGACGATACAAGAAAAAAAGAGCTAGTTACATCAACTTAGCGTCTTAAACATTGTTTCAATGAATGGCCAAAGACCTCTCTGGCACACATTAAATTAGATTTTTACAGTATGTCATGATTAGTTAGCTTGGGTTATTTGACAGCCAATCAGAAAGTCTCTCCGCGCCCCTCCTCTCTTCCCCTTCCCTTCCCCTTCCCCCTTCCCCCTTCCCCCCTTCCCCCTTATCGACATTTTCATCGGACTGTGAAATATTGAAACGAAGTTTGATCGTAAAAGACCCTTCAGAATTTTAAGAAGAAAGACCCCGGCTGAGTTCACCCGTTTTGTGCGATTCCCGAATGGTCCGAATGAATTATTTCGTTTTATGTACCCGGTTGTATAGATTGTCCACGACAGTACTATTCCTGGACTCTGATGGCCCGGGATCCATCATATGCAGGAAACGACTCTTGTATGTCCCCTCCTCCCCCTCCTCCCTCTCTCCCTACGCTATTCGTCCTCCTCCTCCTTCGCCTCCCCTTTTCAGTCCTCTCCTCTCCCTCTTCCCTATCCAGTCCCCTCTCCAGTCCTCCCTATCCAGGCTCCCCCTCGTCCCCCCTCTTCCCTATCCAGGCTCCCCCTCTCTCCTCTTCCTATCCAGTCCCCCCTCTCTCTCCTCTTCCCTATCCAGTCCCCCCCTCTCTCCTCTTCCCTAATCCAGCCCCCCCTCTCTCCTCTTCCTATCCAGTCCCCCCCCCCTCTCCTCTTCCCTATCCAGCCCCCCCTCTCTCCTCTCCCTATTCAGGGCCCCTCCCCCCCTCTCCATCCCTTCCCTATCCAGGCTCCCCCCTCTCCCCTCTTCCCTATCCAGTCCCTCACCCCTCACCTCCTCCCGCTATCCCGTCCTCCCCCCTCCCTCCCCTCCCCGCCCCCTCCTCCCCTCCCCCGAAAGAACTATTGCCGAGATTCCTTTTGTTTTTCCCAGTAATGTCTACAAAGTCCGGAGACATTTTGAGTCCCCGTCGCCCCTCTGCCCACCCAGACGTCAGCCAGAGCCGTGGCACTGAACGCCATTGCGCGGCACTGAACGCGAGGCACTTTCGAAAAGTCTCGCTTTAGAACGTCTGGTGAGGGAGGGAGGGAGAGATGGAGGGAGGGAGGGAGGGAGGGAGGGAGGGAGGGAGGGAGACCTGCAGGACCACCCGGCAGCGTCAGACAGGTGCAACAAGGCTTGGGTTACATCGCTTCTCATTCATTAGGGTTCATCTGCACCCCTCCACCCCCCCACCCCACCCACCCAGTGCTTCTCTTCTTCCTATCCATTGCCCTCCTCTTCTGGCTTCTTTCTTCTCCTCTGCTTCGTTCTCCACGTACCACCTCAATCTCTCTCTCCTTCCTTCCCCTCTTTCTTCCTCCACTTCCCTCCTGCCTCCTCTTCCTTCCTCCCACATCCCTTCTCCTTTCGTCACCTCCCTCCTCCCTCCTTTTCTCCACTTCCACCTTCCTCCTTCCTCTCTTCCTTCCTCCACCTCCTCCTTCCTCCTCTTCCTTCCTCCACCTCCCTCCTTCATCCACCTCCCTCTACCTCCCCTCCCCCTGCTCCTTCTCTTCTCACTCTCCTCCTCTCCTCTCTACTCCCAACAACCTTTCTCGTTTATCTTTTCTCTATGCTCCATTTTTCTCCTCTCCCTCTCCTCTCTCCCTCCTCCTTTCCCTCCTCTCCTCTTCTCTCCTCTCCCTCTCCCCTTTCTCTTCTCTCATCCCCTTTCTCTCTCTTCCCTTCCCTCTTCCCTCTTCATCTACCCATGCATTCATTCTCCTTCGCATAGTGTTCATTATTCAAAATTTCTCCCTCAATCTCTCTTCTCCTGTTCTTCTCCTCTTCCCTCTTCATCTAGTCTCCTTCGCTCAGTGTTCTTCTTTATTCAAAATTCCCGCTTTCTCCCTCGATCCGCGCGGCCTCAACGCGTTAACGAGAACCGATCGACGTCGACTTCTTGTGCGCCAATAATCCTCGACCAGTCCTCCTTGTCCCTGCTGCGGCGTTACGTAAAGATCCCCTCTTGGGTCTTAGTCCAGCGTGGGCGTGGGCGTGACAGGTTGTTTTTGTTGTTTTTTTTTTTCATCGCTGGAAAATCTTGTGTTGTGTATGTTGGGCGTTCGTGGTCGCCTTCTTTCCGGTTCTGCTGATGTCTTCTCCCTGATATTTTCTCTTCGATCTTTTTCTTTCTGCTTCCCTTTATAATCCTCTCTCCTAGCCTGCCCTCCTCTTCCCTCCTCTTCCCGTCCCCTCCCTCCCCTCCTCTCCCCTCCTCTCCCTCCTCTTCCCCTCCTCCCTCCTCCCTCCTCCCTCTTCCCCTCCTCCCCCCCCACTTTCCCCACACATACACTACCTTTCACACTTTTCTTACACACACCACACACCGCACCCGCAAGGGAACGAAAGCGCAATGGAGATGGTGAATTATTTAATAACCCTAATTAAACATTTCTCTAGTGACACCAACATGCTAATGAGTCCCAAGGTAAACAATTAGTGGTTGGGTAAGACAGCGAATTAGCAAGAATGAAGAAAAAACGCTAATAGTACATCTAACGCATTGCTGTTAGTTTTTTTAGAAATATTTGTGTTGTATGTATATATATATATATATATATATATATAATATATATAATATTAGAGAGAGAGAGAGAGAGAGAGAGAGAGAGAGAGAGAGAGAGAGAGAGAGAGAGAGAAAAAAAAGGGGGAGTGAGGAAGAGAGAGAGAGAGAGAGAGGGAGATAAGAGCTTCAACGCCTCTGTTTCTGTTCGCAATATCGCCGCGGTCTTTACAATTGGTGTCAGACGAGGTCGTTGTACTTGAGGGCAATGCCTGGGGAGTTTGGGAGGTCACGATTTTGTCATGTGGGAAGTGTGTCACGCGCGACCCCGCCTTGTGGCGTGTTGGGAGATTTGAATGACATTTGGAGTGAGTGTGGTGGTGTGTGTGTGCGTGCGTGCTTTTGCGTGTGTGTGTGTGCCTTTGCGTGTGCATGTGTATTTGTATGTGTACATGTATTGGTGTATGTGTGTATATCCATATATATTTCGTGCATGCGTATGTGTCCATTCGTGTGCGCGCATCTATATGCGTCTGTGCCTGCGAGCGAGAAGGGAAACCCCGACGAATATCCCTCAGAATCCTTTAAATCCCCGCCTCCTCCCCCTCCCACCTCCCGCCTCCCCGCCTCCCCACCTCCCCGCCCCGCCTCGTCCCCTCGGTCGTCTTAAGGGCAGAACGACCGCCTTTCTCAGAACAGGAGCGAGCAGGAGGGTTTCTCGGGCACGGAGACACCAGCCCCCTCCTGCCGTCTGTAAAAGTGAAAGTGTTGGAAGGTCTCCAGCGTTGTGAGCACCCCCCTCTCCTTGCCTGCCAACAGACCTGCGTGCTTGGGCGGGCTTATGGGATGGCGGGGTGGGGTGGGGGGGGTTGGGTGTTCTGGGGAACAGATCGTAGATTGTCCTTTTTCTTTGTATTCTTTTCTCTTTTTTCTTTTTTTCTTTCTTTCTCTCTCCTTATTTTCTTCTCTTTTTATCTCTATCCCTTTCTCTTTCTATCTCTTTCTCTCTCTCTCTCTCCTTTTCTCCTTTTCTTTCTCTCCCTCTCTCTCCCTTTCTCCTTTTTTTCCTCCTCCCTCTCTACCTCTCCCACTCGTTCATTTCTTTCTCTCTCTCTCTCTCTCTCCATCTTCTAACGAGTTAATTTGCCCACTTGACCGGTGGAATTCAATTTACCGCGAATCGGAATGCTGAGAGATTTGAATTGTGTTCTGTTATTGTTAATAATGTTTATTTATTTAGTTGGAAAATGCATTAATGGACCGTTGGATAATGCCAACAGCTTTGCGAAGGATAACTAACAAGAGAGAGAGAGAGAGAGAGAGAGAGAGAGAGAGAGAGAGAGCGGGTCAGCTTTGCGAAGGATAACTAACAAGAGAGAGAGAGGGGGGGGGGGAGGGAAAGAAAGGACCGGGCATTCCAGAGAGAGAGAGAGAGAGAGAGAGAGAGAGAGAGAGAGAGAGAGAGAGAGAGAGAGGAGAGAGAGAGAGAGAGAGGGAGAGAGGGAGAGAGAGAGTATACGCGGCCGCGCAGTCGGAGAGAGAGGACGAGAAACGCGAGAGAATGGAAAACCTGTTATACTTCCACACTGTCTTCCCGGCAACACATCCCAGCGTGCTGTGGTCGATGTGGTGGAAGATGTTTTAACAAAAAGGAAGTGTTTAACAGTGTTTTTGTTTTCCTTTTTTTAACAAATGAAAACCGAGACACCGGGTTTGGAAATGCTGTTCCAAAAGTACTTTCATATTTCACAAACGATCGACAAGAAAACCTTCGAATCTCGGCTTGTTGCAAGGCCACAAACGAAGAAATAGTCCGGTTGTGGCGAGGCAATGCAATTAAGAATAACCTTAAGGCTTGAGCTAAAAATATAAAGTCAGATGTCACAAAAAAAAGAAGAAATGCGACACGCTATCACTTGAGTGTGTTGCGTCTGCTAGAATGCCATGCTGGTGTTTTCATCGCTATTATGTCTGTCCACATGTTACTGTCAGTGCCGTGTTAGATAACATGGAGAATTTGCATTGTAGTTAGCGAGACTTCCTTTTTTATGGGTAGTCTTTGTCTTTGTTGTGTGTGTGTGTGAGAGAGAGGGAGAGACTGAGAGATAGACGAGAGAGAGAGAGAGAGAGAGAGAGAGAGCGAGAGACTGAGAGATAGAGCGAGAGAGAGAGCTGAGAGATAGAGCGAGAGAGAGAGATAGAGCGAGAGACTGAGAGAGAGAGAGAGAGCGAGAGACAGAGATAGATGAGAGATAGAGCGAGAGGAGAGAGAGAGAAAAGACGCTCGGCATGTATGGAAAGTCGAGAGTTGGCGCATATTGTCATGCATCCCACGCCTGTTGTCTGAGGAGAGCCGCGTCGGTTTGGCCATTGCCTCGTGTGCTGCTTGGCTCACTCTCCCTTTTGTCTCCTCCCTCAGGTATTGGCATCGACGACACCTTCGTGATGCTGGCGGCCTGGAGGAGGACCCGCCTGCAGGACTCGGTGACGGACCGGATGGCGAAGACCTTTGCCGACGCCGCCGTCAGTATCACCATCACCTCCCTGACGGACATGATCTCCTTCTTCATCGGCGCCATCACGCCCTTCCCCTGCGTCCAGGTCTTCTGCCTCTACACGGGTGAGTGGCTGCTCGGAGGACTGCTTGGGCTTCGAGTTGTAGCTTTAGGATCTTTTACTTGAACTGGCTTGAGTTACTGATCATGGATTATTTACTGAGCTAGATTTTTTTTTAGGGGCACAGGTCTTGGCATTTATGATTTTTTTCTTTTCTTTTTTTTCGTATACAGTACCCAAAGATTATTTTGATGTTTTGAAAGATTTTTTCATGTCGGTAAAGTATATTCAGCAGTAAAATCCTTCTCGGCACTGTGATTTGCTTCTCTTTGTGTGCCATGCCCTAGACTCGGCCCCCATGTCAATGCCCTCTTGCCTTATCACGCCTAAAGATGCCTTGTAACCCAGGTATTGCAGATTCTGACGTAACACAGTCTGCCTTGACCGATGCCGTCTCATTTTGGCATCCACGTCGGTTTCTGGGATATGCCTCTCTGTCGGGGAGATCATGAGCCTCTCTTTGAAGTTCATTTTTTTACAGGTTTTCTTGACGTGTAGGATGATTTTCTTTACTTATTTTCCATCTGGTCGGAGCTTCACAAATCCTAGTTCATGGATTTTATGGGAAATACTAACCATACCTTCTCTTTTTCTTCTTTTTCTTTTTTTTCTTTCCTTGTTTTTACTATTAAGGCTACACCAGTACCCATTTTTTTTCCTTTTTTTCCCCCAACCCTTCCCTCTCGTCACCCCCCTCCCCCTCCCCCTTTCCTTCCTTCAACGTAACCCAAACTGACGTCGCGACTTCACCTCCTTCCAGGCACGGCCGTTGTGGTGACGTACCTGTGGCACATCACCTTCTTCGGCGGCTGCATGGCACTCTCCGGGTACATGGAAAAGGGGCAGCGTCATGGAGTCTTCTGCCACAAAATCAAGGCCAAGTCGGAGTCTGGTAAGTTGTTGTGCAAGAAAGTTGGAAAGTAGTCTTGAGGGTTTTTTTTTTCTTCTTCTTCACTATCATCATCGTCGTCACTTTCTTCTTCTTCTTCTTCTTCTTCTTCTTCTTCTTCTTCTTCTTCACATTCACCATCTTCGTCGTCTCTTTATCTCCATCATCTTCGTCTTCTTCATCTTCGGCTTCATTATCTTCGTCTTCATCTTCTTCTCTTCCATCATCATCATTTCTTCTTCACCTTCACCACCACCACCACCATCATCATCATCATCATATTATTATTATTATTCACCTCCATCTCCTCCTCCTTACTCCACGGTGGTGGGTGGTGGGAGGGGGGGGGGGAGGATAGTCACTTGGCAGGATTAACGGGGAGTATGTCATGGGAGAAATGAGAGCGGGGGATCATATGATATTATACAAGTCTTTACAAACATACACGTGTAGACCTACACCTACACATTAACCTACATATATATACACAGGGATTCATAATAACACACATACATTATGTATACGTCAGTAAAACATGGACAATTTCCACTATGAATATTTATGGGTTCCTTGAATATGCTAAGCGAGTGTTAAATTTAGAAACAGAGGTGAAAGCAAGAGGGATGTTCAATGAACGAAACGGAGGCTTCTATTGGGTGAGGTTTTATACCATTTTCCGGTGTGGTGGGTGATCATGGGGTATTTTTTTCCGGGTGCTGCTCTTTATCCGAAGTCGTGGACAGAATTTCAGGAGTTCCGGAGGGTCACTGTTTCGTATGGTTTGTCTCTCTCTCTTTCCTCTTTTCTCTCTCTCTTTTTCTCTCTTTCTCTCTCTCTCTCTCTCTCTCTCTCTCTCTCTCTCTCTCTCTCTCTCTCCTCTCCTCTCTCTCTCTCTCTCTCTCTCTCTCTCTCCCTCTCCCTCCCTCCCCTCCCTCTCCCCTCCCTCTCCCTCTTCCTCTCTACCCTCCTCCTCTCCCGCCTTCCTCTCTCCCTCCCTCCTCCCTCTCCTCTCTCTCGTCTTTTTTCTTTTTTCTTTCTCTTTCTCCATTTCTTCTCTCGCCCCCCCTTTCGTCCTTTCACCCCCCCCAACCACAACCCTTCTCTTCTCCCCCCCCCTCTATTTTCTTCCATTTCCTCTTTTTAAGCGATCTTTGACGCATAACTGGAATGGCAATTACGTCGACCTTTGACCTGGAATGACGGTTTACGCAAATATTTTGAATCGCGTGATGAGGCTTGAGTGACCGCGGTTCGCTTAATTACCAGAGGGACTTGACCTCGCCGGGGAAGTGAATTTACCCTCCAGTTGACCTAGTTTCAGTCTTCCTGTTTGTTTTAATGACCTTAGGTCGTCAGCTGTTCGTCTTCATTCATTTCTGGGGAGTCTGGGAGTTTAGCTTGGAATGGAGTGTTAGGAAGTGTTGTTTTTTTTCCTTTTTCTTTCTTTTTTCTTTCTTTTTTGTTAATTTTTTTTTCAATTTCCCTTTTCTTTATTTCTTTTCTTTATTTTTTCCCTCTTTTCATTTTTCTTTTCTTTATTCATTGTTCTTTATTTTTTCTCATGTTTTTCCTTCTTTCTTTTTTTTTTTACATTGGTTGCTCCTTTAATTGGCGATCGTCTTCAAGCCACGCAAAATGTTTCATTATGTATTGGAGTATTTTTTGTTCTTGCGTTTCCTCGTCTTTGCTTTCCTTTCTCTTTGCTCCTCTTTACTCTTTTCTTCCCTCCTTACTCTCGTCCCCTCTTTCGCCTCCTTTCCCTTTCCCCCTCTTTCCTCCTACTCTTCTCCTCCTCCTCCTCCTCACTCCACTCTCTTCCTCCTCCTCCTCTCTCCTCTTTCCTCCTTCCTCCTCTCCCCCCCTATTTCCTCTCCTCCTCCTCCTCCTCCTCTCCTCCTCCTCACTCCACCTCCTCTTCCTCCTCTCCCTCCTCCTCACTCCACCTCCTTCCCTTCCTCCTCCTCCTTTTTTTGGACCTCATAAACAGCAAATTGCGTCGGACCAAATAACCTGCATGAAGCAAAAACCAGACTGCTATTGGCCCACTCTCTGAGCGCCTCCTCCAAGTGGCACCACACCGGCAGCGGCTCTCAAGGGACCCCCTCCCTCCCCTCCCCTCCCTCTCTCCTCCTCTCTCTCTCTCTCTCTCTCTTCTCTCTCTCTCTCTCTCTCTCTCTCTCTCTCTCTCTCTCTCTCTCTCTCTCTCTCTCTCTCTCTCTCACTCTCTCACTCTCTCACTCTCTCACTCTCTCACTCTCTCACTCTCTCTCTCTCTCTCTCTCTCTCTCTCTCTCTCTCTCTCTCTCTCTCTCTCTCTCTCTCTCTCTCTCTCTCTCTCTCTTCTCTCTCTCCTCTCTCCTCTCTCCCCTCTCTCCCTCTCTCCCTCTCTCCCTCTCTCCCTCTCTCCCTCTCTCCCTCTTTCTCTCCCTCCCTCCCTCCCTCCCTCCTCCCCCGTCCCGTACTCTCCTATCTCTCCTCCCCCCTCGCCCCCTCACCCCCTCCTTCACCCCTTTCACCATCGCTCATAATGCGTGCTTCCTTTTTGTGACTTAAATGTCACCCATTTGGCCGCAGCTTTGATGCTGTTGATGCGATGTGACTTCGTGCAAGCACTGCCACACTCGCAGTCACTTCCGTTAACCATCACTACAACCACTACCTATAACCACTGTTTCTACAACCACTACTGCTTTTCCCTCTCCTTCTACAACTTTTTGTTCTCCTCGCCACAACTGCACATCGTCCACTTCGCTGTTTATACTACTCGTGTTACTTGGGTTATGAGCTGTACTGGAAGTGGCTGTCCTTCTCGGAGCAGTGCGGATACAACCACCACAGCTTCGGAGCCTCCAACTCCACCTCCAACTCCCCGGCCTCCACTTCAACCTTCACCTTCCCACCTCCACCTCCACCTCGCCCGCCTCCAATTCTCCTCCTCCTCCACCTCGCCCACCTCCAATTCCTCCTCCTCCTCCACCTCGCCCACCTCCACCTCCACTTCGCCCACCTCCACCTCCCTCACCTCCACCTACACCTCCCTCACCCCCACCTCTCCCCCTCCACCTCGCCCTCCTCCTCCTCCTCCTCCTCCTCCTCCTCCTCCTCCTCCTCCTCCTCCTCCTCTCCTCCTCCTCCTCTCCTCCTCCTCCTCCTCCTCCTCCACCTCCCCGTCCAAACAGCGCCATCTAGCCCGCGACGGCGCTTTTTATTGGCTCTATGATTGCGGCGACCGTGCTTGTTATTTATTTTTGACCTGCGACGCTGGAGATATTATTGGCTCGCTAATGGCTGGTCTAACCCTTTGGTTCGGCCGCCTCCCCTTTCTCCCTGTCTGGCTCTTGCTCTTCTCTCATCGTTTCTCTCCCTCCCTTTGCTTCTTTCCCTTGTACCTCTTTCGCTATCTCCCCTTGTATATGTCTTGTCTTTCTTTCCTTATCTCTCTCTCGCTCCCTATCCCCCTCTCTCTCTCTCTCTCATTCTCTTCTCTCTCGCTCCCTATCCCCCTCCCTCTCCCCCTCTCTCCTCTCTCCCTCTCTCTCTCTCCCTCTCTCCCTCTCTCTCTCTCTCTCTCTCTCTCTCTCTCTCCCCCTCCCTCCCTCTCCCCCTCTCTCTCTCTCCCCCTCTCTTCTCTCTCTCCCCTCTCTCTCCTCTCCCCCTCTCTCTCTCTCCCCCTCTCTCTCTCTCCCCCTCTCTCTCTCTCCCCTCTCTCTCTCTCTCTCTCCTCCCCTCTCTCTCTCTCTCGCTCTCTGTGTCCGTCTCTTTCTCAATGTGTGCGTGTGTGTGGATATATATGGCGGTCCCTTTTCTCTCGCGTCGTCCTGGCTTCCTTTCACTGGGCGACGATCCGCTGCCTCGGTTCGGTTCCCACGACCCAGCCAGCCTACCCAGGGGGCGTCTCATAGTTAACGCGTCTCTCTCTCTCGCTCTTTATCTCTTTCTCTCTCTCTACCTCGCTCTTTATCTCTTTCTCTTTCTTTCTCCTTCCCTCTCTCTCTTTCCCTCCCACTCGCTCTCATCCTCTCCTCTCTCTCTCCCTCTTCCTTTCATCCTCTCCTCTCCCTCTCCCTCTTCCTTTCATCCTCTCCTCTCCTTCTCTTTCTTTCTCTCTCCCCTCTTCCTCCCCTTCTCTTCCCCTCCTTCTCTCTACCCCCCTCCCTCTCATTCTCTCCTCTCCCCTCCCTCTCGCAGTAAAAAGCAACACGAGCAACTCCCTCGCTTCGACCCACATCCGCAAGTCTCGACGCCGTGAAGCTACCCCCCCCCCCTCTTCTTGGCGTGGGCAATGCAGATAATGGGATTTGTTGTTTATCTGTTTCTTTGCCCATTCGGTATGATTCAGGTGCTTGTATTACCACTAAAAGTACTCGGGTGTGCGAGAGTACCGAGGGGGAATAAGTGTAGATGAGTACCATGGGTGCACCAAGTAGTACCAAGTAGTACCAGGGGGGGAATTGGGGTAGATGATGGAGACTACCACGGGAGTACCGCAGCGAGAGAGAAAAAAAAACACAAGGAAGGAACTAAAACAGAATCTCGCATCACCTGCTACAGATCTCTTTTACACCCGAGGCGCCCCCCCCCCCCTTTGTCGAGATTTGATTTCCATTTGCATATTTCTTTTCTCCGTGACCTCTCTCGGAGGCCAGCCCAGAGTGCCATGACGACAGGTTCTCCAGGAGTGTTTGGAGAGAAGCGGGCCACTTTTTTTTCCTGGAGGGGAAGGGGGGGAGGAGAGAGACCGTGGGATGTGAGGGTCGCGGCATCGGTTGCGAGGTTGGGGAGGTTCGGTTGCTGGGGGAATCGAGGTTCAGGTGTCGACGGGAACCTCATGCTGTGAGGCCGGAATGTCAGGAACGAGAGGTTGAAATGTAGGTTGGTATTTGGGCGATTTTGACTTTTTTTCCTTCCCAGTTGTTTAGGGTTGCATCATCCACGAGAGAGGGTTAGGGGAGTCTCCCTAGTAGGTCAGCTGACCTTTGGCCGAGCAATTAAGCGGAGTTTAGAGATTTCAGAGATTGGGAGGAGAGGCCCGATGTTATGCGCGCGCGTGTACAAACGCACACACGCACACACACATGGGGAGAGAGAGAGGGAGGGAGGGAGCGGATGGATGGAGAGGAACTAACTTAGACAGACAGACACAGAGACGGAGAGAGACCGAGAGAGTGAGAGATACCGAGAGAGACAGACAGACGGAGAGGGAAAGAGAGGCACAGAAAGAGAGAGAGAGAGAGAGAGAGCGCGCGCGCGGCCCACATGAGCGCGCCCGCCCCAGACACACGCACATGAGCCCCAGGTTGCTTTCGTCTGATCCACGCGAGCTTTCACTATCAATCGGCCCACACTTTCTCCCGCGTCCCGCCCACACTTAATGGTCTGTTTCATTCATGGCGGCGCCCGTGCGAAGGCCTCCCTGCCATCTATGAGAAAACCCTCTCGCCATTCATCCTCGTTGCGACACGCCTTGTTTGGTTCGTTAGGCGCCGCCGAAGGAGAAGAAAAAAAGATATTCGGGCGATTTCGTGTAGGTTCGTCTGTCTGGCTGGCTGGCTGTTTGTGTAATTGTTTGTTTCTGTTTTGTTTTTTTGTGTGATTATTTGTGTTTATCGGTCAGTAAGTTTGTTTTTTTTTCCATTTCTTTGTGTTTGTCAGTCTGGGTATGTGCGTTTCTTTTGTTTGTCTGTTTGTTTGTTTGTTTGATAAACAATTAAGTTAGTTTTTTTATTTTTTATTTGTGTTTGTGAATGTGTGTTTGTGTGTGTGTGTTTTGTCAGTGTTTATGTGCGTTTGTTTGTCTGTCAGTGAAGGTATGCGCGTATGGAAATATACATAGATTAAATTGCATACATGTGTGTCTGAATTTGCATGCATCCGCGTCTATCGGATATAATTCTGCTACATGTCTTCCCTACAAAGCATAATCTCATCCACAAAGCCGTCACTATTTTTTTGCTCGCTGTGAACTCTCTTTTTCTTCTTTTTCTTCACGTTCTCCTCCTTCTCCTCATCCTCCTCCTCCCTCCTTATCCCTCCTCATCCTTCTCCCCCTCCTTCTTTTTCTTCTTGTCCTTCCTCTTGTTCTTCTTCTCCTCCTCCCTCCTCCTCCTCCTCCTCCTCCTCTCTCCTCCTCTCCTCTCTCCTCCTCCTCTCCTCTCTCCTCCTCCTCCTCCTCCTCCTCTCTCCTCCTCCTCCTCCTCCTCCTCCTCCTCCTCCTCCTCCTCTCCTCCTCCTCCTCCTCCTTCTCCTCCTCCTCTTTCTTCTTCTTCTCCCAAACCCTTCACGAATCGGACCTCCTTCGCAACCCCGTCGGCCGCACGTGAGAGAGGTTAGGCCTGAGTGCCCAGGATGCTCCCGGATGTAGTCATTCATACATTCATTGGAGGGAAGAGGGGGAGGAGGGGGAAGAGGAGAGGAGGGTAGAAAGGCAGATTGGAAAGGGGGAGGGAAGAGAGAGGGAAGGAGGAAGGGTGGAAAGGAGGGAGAGTAAGAGGGAGGGAGGGGGGGAGAGAGAGGAAGGGAGGGAGAAAGGAGAGAGAAGGAGAGAGGAAGAGAGAGAGAGGGAGGAGAGAGAGGGAGGGAGAGAGAGAGGGAGAAAAGGAGAGAGGGGGAGAGGGAGAAAAGGAGAGAGGGGGAGAGGGAGAAAAGGAGAGAGGGGGAGAGGGAGAAAGGAGAGAGGGGGAGAGGGAGAAAGGAGAGAGGGGAGAGGGAGAAAGGAGAGAGAGAGGGGAGAGGAGGAGAGGGAGGGAGAGGGGGAGAGGGAGAAAGGAGAAGGGGGAGAGGGAGAAAAGGAGAGAGGGGGGAGAGGGAGAAAAGGAGAGAGGGGAGAGGGAGAAAAGAGGGGGAGAGGGAGAAAAGGAGAGGGGGAGAGGGAGAAAAGGAGAGAGGGGGAGAGGGAGAAAGGAGAGAGAGAGGGAGAAAAGGAGAGAGAGGGAGAGAGAGAAAAGGAGAGAGAGGCAAGAGGAGAGAGAGGGAGAGGGAGAAAAGGAGAGAGAGGGAGGAGAAAAGGAGAGAGAGGGAGAGGGAGAAAAGGAGAGAGAGGGAGAGGGAGAAAAGGAGAGAGAGGGAGAGGGAGAAAAGGAGAGAGAGGGAGAGGGAGGAGAGAGGGAGAGGGAGAAAAGGAGAGAGAGGGAGAGGGAGAGGAGAGAGAGAGAGGGAGAAAGGAGAGAGAGGGAGAGGGAGAAAAGGAGAAGAGGGAGAGGGAGAAAAGGAGAGAGAGGGAGAGGGGAGGGAGAGAGAGGGAGAGGGAGAAAAGGAGAGAGAGGGAGAGGGAGAAAGGGAGATTGAGGGAGGGAGAGAGAGAAAAATGAAAGATGGTGTGTTATGTGCCTTCGAAGACGCTAAAAATAGACCGATTATTGTTCCTGTACACCTTCTCCCAGACACTTGAAGTCTTTGTCTGGGCAGTAGCAGGTAAAACAGGCACGGGGGAAGGGGGAGGGGAAGCAGGAGGGGGGGGGAGTGTAACCACCACAAAAGCCTGGAGCGAGTTTTCACCTGACCAGACTAAGTGGAGCCGACCCGAGTATGACGTAGAGTTTGAGGTGCCCGCGGGTGGACGAGGTGGAGGGAGGGAAGGGAGGTAGAGGGAGGGTGGAAGGGCTGGTGATATCGAATATCCGAACTGGTCTAACACACTTTTGGTTAGTTCCGGATTTTGGGGTTTTGGTTGTTTGTTTGTTCCGATGGTTTGGAGTTTTGTCTGCTTGTCCGTTTCGTGGTCATCGTTGTCGGTTCGCTCACTTTCCCTTCTCGTATGTACGCCTTTCCCTCTCTTTTGTTCTCGTGCCTCACATATTTCCCTTTTTATCTCATTCTCATCTTTACATCGCCCTCCAGTTATTGCCCTGCGCTCTGTCCTCTTTCATCTGCTTGGTTCCTTCATTCTCATTCATACACCCTGTGGTTTTCTGATTCTTCAATCCTTAGGTTATTATGCGTGGTGTTGAGGATGGCGGTGGTGGTGTTGATGGGCGATGATGATGATTGATGCTTTTTAATATGTTGATTGATAATCATGATGTTTTTGATGATTGATGATCATAATTATATTGATGATGATTATTATGTTAATTGACGATCATGATTATGTTCCTGATGATGACGATTGCTAATAAAACGGGTTCTTGGCATGTTCAGAGAACGAGAGCTGCGGCTACCGGTTCTTCTGCACGGGCGGCATCACCGAGGCCGACCCCTGGAACCCGAAGGACAACATGGAGCACTCCCTTATGCTGTTCTTCAAGAACTACGTCGCCAGGTTCCTCAACATCCCGGCCATCAAGGGTAAGGCCGAGAGTTCCTGATGTGTGGATAACTGATAAAATAGAATAAATAGCATTAAGTCTCAATAGAATAGGTAGCATTGCATAAATAACTCTCAACAGAATAGATAAGATTGCATAAATAACTCTCAATGGAATAGATAGCATTGTATAATTAATTCTCAGTAGAATGAATAACATTGCATAAATAACTCTAGTAAGATGAGATAAAATGTAATTCATTACTTGTTTGGAAATGAAAAAATAAGTCACGGATAAGTAAGAGGATTCAGTATATATGTTTACATCTATTTTTACATAGTTTTTTGTGTACGGATTGAATTATTTGATTTTAAAAACGCATTCTAGTTTGTATGTGCATTACATATTTCTCTCTCGCCCACAGCGCTCGTCGTGATGGTGTTCCTGATGTACTTGTTGGTGGCCTGTTGGGGCTGCACGATGGTCAAGGAAGGCCTGGAGCGACGCCGTTTGTCCCGCTACGATTCGTACTCGGTGGAATTCTACGACTTGGAGGACATGTACTTCCGAGAATATCCTTATCGAATTCAGGTGCGTGCATGGGGGGAGGTGTTTCGTATTCAGGTTCGGGTGGAATTTCGGAGTTTTCGAGTCGGAGGATGTGTCGCTGTTCGTTCGAGTAAGTAGGGGTTGTCACTGGTCTGTTTATCAAAGGTACTCGAAACATCATAGCTATTCGAAATCAGTAGATAGTAATAAAGACATTTATGGCCATTCTCGGGCACTTTGGGCACGAGGTAGGAATTCACAGAAAGATGCTCCGGGGTCAAGAGGGAAATAATTAGCAGTGCACTGTATTATACGAGAAAAGCATCCATGAAACTGTAAACCACGAACATCGTCTAACAAGGAATGATTCGTTCCAGGTTGTGATCACTGGCGACGTGAACTACAGTGACCCGATCGTCCAGGAACAGCTGATGGATCTGCACCAAGAGTTCGAGAACCTAACTTACGTGGCGGGAGCTCTGTACACCGAGTCCTGGCTCAGGGCCTGGCTCGGCTTCCTCGACAGGAATCAAGAATTCCTGGAACTGAATGTCACAACAGAAGAGGACTTCATTGCCAATCTTCGAGAGGTAAGTTTGTGTGTTTGTGCCTCTGTCCCTGCGTATTCTTTGCTCGGGCATTGGTTGGGAGAAACGTTTGGATCTAGAACCACATCACCTGGACGAGATATTAAATCAAGCTACATGTTCCTAATGTTTGGTTAACCGTTTTCACTAGATATTGAGTTGTCTCATATCCGTTACATAATATCACGACTTTACATATTTTATAATATACTTATTAACCACACCTCCAACAGATCTACTTATCGGGTCCAGCCAATGCCTTCGCGCAAGATGTGGCGTTCAACGAAGACTACACTCGGATCAAGGCTTCCAGGTTCATTATCCAGACGCACAAGATTTTAGATGCTAATGATGACAAAGACATGATGGAAAAGCTGCGACAGGTGGCCCGAGATTCGCAGTTCAACGTCACTGTGTTCAATCCCTTCTTCATCTATTTCGATCAAGTTAGTATTACTTGCCGTTGTTGATTTGCTCAGGTATTTTTAGTTTTGGATTTGAGGATGTATAGTGTATATGTTGATACGAGGAAATAGATCTAGCGAATGCCTTTTCATTTTTTCAGTACGTGTTAGTGAGGACGACGAGTATCCAGGCCATCTGTCTTGCTGCTGCCGTCATGATGGTGGTTTCGCTTATCTTCATCCCGAATCCCCTCTGCTCGCTGTGGGTCGCCTTCTCCATCGTCTCCATTGAGGTGGGCGTGGTGGGCTACATGACGCTGTGGGGCGTGAACCTCGACTCCATTTCCATGATCAACCTCATCATGTGCATCGGCTTTAGCGTGGACTTCTCGGCCCATATTTCCTACGCTTATCTGGCTGCCAAGGTCGACACGCCCGAGGAGAGGGTGCAGGAGTGCCTCTACGCTCTCGGCCTTCCTATCCTGCAGGGCGGCTTGTCAACCATCCTGGGCATCACCACGCTCATCCTCGCTCCGTCGTACATCTTCATCACCTTCTTCAAGACGGTGTTCTTGGTCATCTTCTTCGGCGCCATGCACGGCATCTTCCTCCTGCCCGTGCTGCTCTCCTTGCTCGGCCCCGGCTCGTGCTCCAACCGCAAGAACAAGGAGATCACTCCTCCAATGAAGGGCAACGGCCATCCCTTCTTCATGCACGGCCAGGCCCTTCCCCCGCCCGGGTCGCACGACGCCAGCAGCCTGAAGATCCCGCGGCCACACAGCATGTCAGCCTCTCAGTCGGGGACTCCAGTGGCCCCGGTAGGCCTTGGTCGCTCCGGCGCCTTCCTGGCTCCCGCTACGCTTGCTTCCAACAAGGATGATGGCAACAGCCTGGAAAAGGACCTGGGACTAGGTACTTCCGGCGAGGAGTCGAGCGAGTCGAGCCTCAGCAAGGGCGCAGCCAACCGCCGCGGGGGCCCGGATATCATCCCTGGCAGCGGAGGACGCCGCGGACTGCCCATTCTAGAGGTTTACAGCAATAATGGATATATCAGCGATGACCTGGAAGCTGAGGAACGCCGCTCAGAAGAACGCCGCCTCGATCACTACGGCGAATGGGAAGACCCACGTCGCAGCTACCAGAACCACAGGCCTTCACCCGAGCGCTCGTCGTCCATCCATCGAAATGATTCCTCTGCACGTCCTGGGCAGCGCCAGGCTCGCCCGCGCTCCTCCGACACCCGGGAGCGAACTGAACTCAGGAGAGGTTCATCGGCAACAAGGTCATACGGAGCGCGTTCCTCTGCAGATCCCCGCGGAAGGCACCGCGATAACCATTAACGACGTCACGCCCAAGTGACCACGTGCCATGGCCAAGTGTACAGTGTACATAGTGTAGTATGAATGGACAGGCCCAGCGCAGCTAGTCACTGGGCGAACACCCCCAATCCCATCTCTTAGTTCTCCCCAAGGGTTGTGTTTGTCACCCCGCGGATTTGTGCCATTCCGCCCACATTTCGACCCTGCTGTGTTCTCATTCATCAACATCAGATATGTATGTTTGTCCTTGTCAAGGGGTGAAGCCCTTCCTTATATGAAAATAATTTCGTGTGTCTTGACAAACTGCACCGAATAGCGGGGTCGGTGGAAATAAATCATCTGTATTTATTTAAACGAACTTTATTTTGTGTTGCAAAGGTACATACATTGTGGACAAGTGGACAACGACGCTGAACTAGCGTTGCAAGGGATAGGGCAGACCACAGACACGCACAATCTGCCACGCTAACAGTGCGGTGGTGTTTACCGGCCGGTCCACGATGTAGCACATAGTGATTGGTAATGACAAATGCCAAAAGTTGCCAGAGCAGGTGTACTTAATCTGAGGAAATAAGTGAACAGTGATTCTCGAGAATAGTTTTTTTAGTGTGTATGTAACTGCTGAACAAGATAAATTAACATTTTGTACAAATTTTCATCGGATATATTCCCGTTTTTGGAAGTGTCAGGTTCACAGTGTTTCCCAGATTGCCAGTATCAGTGGCATGCTGGAGCTCATTATGGCTCAATAGTAATGTAATCGTTTTAAATATCATTTTAATGTAAACTGTATCAGTTACCACTTTGTCGACAAGTTTTTGAGTGAAAATACATTCCCAGACTTGATGAACTCCAAACGTCATATGATTGAAGTGTAGACTTTTACTATTATTCCATTTTATTTCATTAACTGCAATACTGATATTGTGTGATATAGGAATGAATCGTTATTTTATAATACTTTTATAATGAAAATTTGTTTTTAGAAATAAGGTTTGATAAGGTAGATGCTCGCAGGACGTTGTCCTGAGAGGTAAATGTATATAGTATAAATTTTATTTCAGTTTTCGTCCAAATTTAACAAATTCTGTTTTAGGTAAATCTCGCTCTCGCATTAGATTCACTTGGTTGGTTTTATCAGGAAAGTGGTTTGTTTTCCTGCATCAGAATGCCTTACCAAAAGGTTATACCAGTCGGGTCCAAACTCCTGCAGAGAAGTTGGATCCTTCGACTCGTCCAGTGTTTAAGGCATCCGATTAACCAAGTTGGATACCTTCTATCACATGGTACTTGATGCATGGAAACTAGCCCTTCGCATGTAGTTTTTACAGGGAGAATAGGGTCTCCTTAACAACTAGCTGAAAAAGGTAGTTGATTTGCTGAGACCAGAGAGCTGCTCGTGGCAGAGATGCTTCCCTGGCGGTTATTTTAAAACTGTCGAAATCCTGGTGGCCGACACGATGCATGTGCATAGCCTGTCTAAAAATGGTGAGCAGCATTGTCAAAAGTGGTAGTTTCTGTGCTGATAATTTATATGATGTATATATAAATGTTCACACATTAATTGCACTGTCCATATGCGCTGTAAATAGCATTGACAGACGACCGTGTTCATGTTTATTTTTCTTTAACCCTGTAGTGTTTCTGCACATAACAAAGCAGAGACTTGAGATTTCGAGAAAACGCCTTGCCTCGTGTATAACGATAAATCGATACTTGTTAATGCCTCGACCATTTAATATATGTATTTATAGGCGAAGTCATTGAAAATGGATAGACTTGAAAGATTAGTTGATTGCCGTAAGCATACGATGGAGTACTACAGAAGCGTCACCAGATTCAGTATTATTAAGCCCCTCTACATTTTACATGTGCAATGATAAAAAATGTCACTAATAAACCCAGGTTTCTTAATTATTTGTATTTCATTCCCTCATATTCACATGAAGAAAATATAATAATTTGGATACTATGTCGCGCACGTGTGCGTGTGCCCATTGGCGCAGTTGGATAAGTTGGATAAGGCTGTCTGCTGCTCTTCCTAGCACAGAGGGGGAGGTGGCGACCCATAACACCTGTAGGTCAAGGCTATGTGCCATTCTACATGTTCTTACAATATTATTATGAAGGTAAGCCTCTTGTACTCATTAGTACCGTAGTCTCGATTTATACAAAATTGGAAAAGCAATGTTAATTGGACTAGCGCATAACGAGCAGATCATCAGAAACTAAACCAAAAACTTAGAGCTGTTTTACGTGCAATAGCACATAAAAACATGTTTCATCTCACCTCCGCGTGGGATGAAAATAAGATAGACAATAATCATATGAAATTAAAGATGTAAGAAATATGGCTACATTATTTTTAATAGTATAAGGTTCTTTTCCGTCTTTATTCCATTTTCATATGAGTAGACGTTTAGATATCCAACCCATCTATAATGTCCTCATTTAATATTATAGCTCGATCTCATGATCCAGTATCCATAGTCCGCGGTTTTCTCTTTTCTTCACTAGAAAAGGTCTTCTCGCCCTCACTGATACATTTAATATCCGATTATTACTAACCCTAATATATTAGCTGCCAAGTAGTTGTTTAGCCAATTGCTGCATATTAATAGCAATCGTTAAAGGCTACAGCTAATATATAATTAAAATATGGATGACAAGGCCTTCAAAATTTGAAGTTAATATTTTCATACCTTACAGGGAGATTCTAATACGAATGAAAAACTGTACCTATAGCCGTATTATGTGCAGTGCTTTAATATGTATTTTTTTCATTGAGGCACCTTTTATTCTTTATAATCTTACCATATGTGCCACTGGCATTTATCACCAAAATTGCAATTATCGTTATTAATAAAGTTCAATAGGTTATCTGGGAACGAATTCAAAAGCAAAGCATTTCCATGAAAAATATGGATTTTCTCATGATTCATTGCAGTATGCCCCCTAAGCAAGTTTGATTTGATGATTCTCTTTGCATGAATACAAAATCATTTAAAACATTATTTACAATAGTATATTCTAGGTAAACCTCTGTTGACCAACTGTGTTTCATCGATCGAGTGGATGGTTATTCAAGTTCTAATATGAATACAAACTTGTATAGTTAATAAGCATTACATGCTACTCACAGTAAAGGTTACTGCTCACTTTATAATATGCATTGCTTATAGTAAAAGTATCATGTCATATCCTGAATAAATAGAAACTTGGTTTAAGGTACCTCATTGTCATTAATTTAAAAACTGTGCATTTTGCAATACAGCATCTGTTCCCACATGAAAGTAGCTCATTTTCTTCCAGAAATATCCTCGTGGATGTTCTGATTCCCACTGATGTTTATAATTGCAAATAAAGGCTCCATCTAATGCACTCTGTGCCTTTGTCTGATATTATTTTATCATATTTGGCCTTACTACAAATAACACCTTGGATGTAATTCCTTCTGGAAAACAAGGGTATTTGCATTTTCCCATTTCTTAATTTGCAGCATCAAATAATACTTACATATACAAAAAAGTAATTTGTCAACTATTCTTTCCTTGATAAATATAATTTCATACTGAACCAGGAAAACTGTCAATTCTTTACTATAGTTCAAATTATTATACATGAAGATCACATCTGACAAAGATTATATCAATATTTTATGAAATGCTGCAGGCAAACTTTTCTCCATCTCTAAAATGAACATTTAGCATATAGCATTAGAAGCAATACATGCATGTACTGTCTAGGAAGAAAAATCCAAAATTTTTCTAATCAAAAGCTGTGGCAAAGGTAAATTTGCTTAATTTTTTCCACCTCAAATTCATTTTTTTTCTTCTTTGTCTAGATATCAACTAGATCTCTACAAATATGTAAAATAAACACACATTTAGGGAAAACCAAACTACCTTCTAGATATAAATGTGTATTTAAGGGAATGAGTCATTTACTTTCCCTCACATACTATAAGAAAATGCTGTGTAATAATTGGTAACTAGTCCAGTAAATAATTTTTGAACACAAACTTTATGCAGTTAAGTACAAAAGACTCGTACACTAACATCTACCCTGGAAATGTTTGCCATCAGCTGTTAAAACATAAAATATACATGGACTCGCAGTACAAGTGACATCTGTGTTTCATTTTTTTTTTTTTTTTCTATCTCTGTTTTTAGCATTTTAGCCACTGACTGTCCGTCAGTGGAACACCATTTCCTGGCAAGTTTTTGAAACACCATGATACCAAGTGAGACGGAGAAAACATTTTGCTTTCTCACATATTGAAAGGATTATACAAGTCTTAAATAACAGACCCAACAGGTATATAAACTGAACACTCCATCAACACAATGCAAAATGTGAATTGGTATTGTAGTGAGGCACCTAGGCCTTGTCATACTTCATTCACTGATTATTGCTTTTAGTGTTGTGAAGGTTAGGAGATGCAATCAGGGACTGAGCAGAAGATAAAGCAGATTATTTCATCATGGGCAATATGGACTGCTCATATTACCCTTGAACTGAGAATGCAAATACAAGAAACTTAAACTTCAAAAGTACTTAATGGGTGGGTTATTCTCAAAACTGAAAAAAAGACAGAAAAACTGGAGAGTTCAGAAGACAAACGAAAAAATTACATACTAACTGTAATATGAAGCAAAAGTTAAAGGCAGTAACAGGAAAGTATCAAAGATGGAGGGAGACAGCAGACTGAACTGTAGGGGAAGAGGGGGGGGGGAGGGGCCAAAGTTCCCTGAGTTGTTCGTGCAACATATATTCAAGTGCACAAGAGAGGCTAAGGCCACGTCACCTTTACCAAAAATTCTACCAAGTAATCAGAGAGGTCCTTATATCACACACATTAGTGCTTTTTTCTCTAGAAGATATGAAAAACAGTCACACCTTAACCCAAGAAAGCAGATTCCTGCCTGGGTCTTCCTCTGAAGTTGAGATCACAATACAGCCCAGGTACTACTTCATAATGTATTTTGTTTGTTTTTTTTTACTTAAGCTTATGGATTCTTTCTATCAAAGACATCACATTTATGACCAAAAGTTCCACCCAAATTTTGTCTGAATTTCTGATATATATAATACAAACAAGAGAAATCACAAATTTATTTCACTAAGTAATTCTTGACGAAGAAAAGATAAAACTATGGAAACGGTGGCAGGGATGTTAAAAGAAATCCATGATGACATATTGCAAAAAATAACAATCTCCATATTTACAGAAATCTCTTACACAGTTACTAATTAAGGTTAACACCACTCATTAACAAATAGCATATTTGTATTGCACAGTGATCAAGATCTTTATCACATTTATAATAATACAAAACTAAGCAAACTTTCACACCAGGAAAAGCACATCAAATACTTACATAAGTGTTCCACTAATAGCAAACCTCATGACCTTTCGTGTGAAAAGGCTTCTTGTAACCAACCAAAAAAATTCTATCCAACTGCACCACTCTCCACTAAGTCTTCATATAAAATATCACTTATGAAAATTAAAATCCAGAGCCTAGCTATTTCTTCATATTGAAAATGTATAAAAAGAAATCTATTTTGTATAAAGAAAGCTCAAAAGTGCAGCTGTTACAATTTTTTTTAAATATTCATTTTCAAAAAGGCTTGAATTTAATTTCTTCAAACATTGCCTTTACACAAAACCTTGTATCTTATTCCTTCAAAACAAAGGTAATTAGACATATTACACATACATGCACATACACACTAAAGTGTACACACACACACACACACACACACATTTACAAGACCAACTGTAAGAGCAAATAACTTAGGAGATTATGAAGATGTAAGCACAATGAATATATTCCAACTGGAATCATAATCTTATTTCAAGGCTGGTCATCAGTTTGATGGTAGGTTCCCTGTGTATTGTAATTCCCACTTTATAATGGAAATCATAGCACAACAAAGTAGACTCAGGACGACAACTATCAGGGCTTGGGTGCCTTTATAAGGATATGTGCATCAATCTTACATCAGCATCATTTTGAAATCATACGACTTCCTGAATGTCAACTTGCCAAGTTAGTTTATTACTCAGTCAGTATCACAGAGGAGAAACAGACCTACTAATATACTGTGCATGAAAGTTGAGAGCAAATGCACCAATCAGTTTAGAGATTCTTATCACTGGCTAAAAGATCCACAGCTATTGTGATATATTAAAAGAAAAAAAAATTAAGAAAGAGGTCAATCTGAAGTACTTCCTGATAAACCATTTAATCCAAATCCAGATACAAAACATACGAAATGTGCATCTGATCTGAATACAATGCATTGATAATACCCATTTCATACAAACCAGTCACTTCAGCTTCTAGCAGACTTATGCCCCAAATGTCCACATCAACAAATCATTTATGTATGGTATGATACTGTGATGTAGAAAAAATGGTCACTACTTCCCAGGTTGTAGTGTGAATGTAATTACCTTGCGCAATCACATTTTCACACATGTAGTGACACATTCCCATACTTGTAAACAGGAGAGCATTCTGGAACTATCATGGTGTCCTCTCATTTTTACATTTAAGTCAATTTCGGAATGTTTTATCAGTAAATTATCCATACTGTCTACCGGCTCTTTGCCAGAAAGTAATGGGATTTCCCAAAGAATATTGGGTGGGGAAAAAAAAAAGCTAAAATAGACAGAGGAAAAAGTGGGACAGCTGGAAGTTACTGACATGAATTTCGTCCAAATGAAATATTTTATTATTTCTACATTCTAATAGCAATATCCCTCAAGTTATAAAAAAAGATAACTATACAACAGAAAATAAATAATATTCTTTAAAAATTCAGCTCACAGATTAATATTCTAGTTACATTGAGGATCATACATGTCAACTTCAATTTTGTTGTTGGTACCACTGCTACACGCTG